CCCCCTGTGGGGGAATTCCCAACAACGATGTGCCCTGAACCAAATACGACACGGCTCTCTTGCGAGCAACCCTCCGTTGAGGATTCCTCAAGTGGCATGCAGCACGGTGGAGCAGTGGAAACAACGTCAGTACCTTCGTGTCATCCTCAGAACATTGGAGAAGCGTCAACACCCGTGTTGGAGAGGGCTAGAGGGACTTGTGTTTTGGAGCAGCGCTAGCTCGTTTTCTAGCGATCGTTGCGGCGTTTGGGGTTCAGTGAGTGGTAGAAAAGGGCTGGCGCTGTGCCAACAATCACATGCCGCTCCCGTGCTCTGAATGGCTTCAATGGTAACGAGGGTAACCATCCAAAGAGGTATCCAAAATGATTGTGAGTTGAAAATGAGTGAACCAGTCGCCTTTGCCCGCTCCGTTAATGCATAGACAAATGACGCTTCTATTCAAAGTGTTCACTCTGCACCATTCCAGAAGCTGAGAGTATTGCGTAGTCATGGGTTGGGGGCCAGGCTTTTTAATTGCAGGTTATTATACATGAAATTTACACACACATGAATTCAATATCTTGCTATCTTTGGGGGTAACCAAATAAGATTTTACCTAGTCGGGGCGGTGTTGAGTGTGGAATAAGCCTGACCGCCAACGGCTTCTACTGTGGGATCTAAATCTGATGGAAAACAAGCAGCAGTAGAAAGATGCCGCGGGTGGGCTTGTTCCATGCCCCTTGACATCGCCCTGGCTGACTGCGACGATATCACTGTAACTAGTAATTGTGACTAGCCTATGAAGAGTGTAAAGAAAGGCGAAGAAAGAGAAAGAAAAAGAAGGATGGAAAAAATGAAGGAATGGGGGACCTTCGCGGATGGCAGACATCCTGGAACCAGACAGTTCAAGGCTCTAGAACTCTTGGTGTTAGGTCTCTCATTGTTCATTGTTACTTAAATTATTTGTGTATTCAGGTTATGTTCATGTTCTACTACGTCAAAGTATATTTGAACATCTTCCACGTGCCCAGTATGTGGTTCAACATCGCTCCAGACGCTATACATGTTTTGGAATGCTATTAACGATCCTCTCTTCGGTTACTTGCAGGTTTGTAAAAAGTTTCGGCGCAATTCGGCTTGGTGGGGGCACCAAAGGGTACGGTGGGAAGCTTGTCCTGGCTACTTGGTGAAGACCTGTGAATGCCTGTAAGCTAAGCGACTCACTGATATGGCCGTATTCGCAGCTTCACAAGAGTTTACATGTCTCATCAAAGTGAGACTCGTTAGTTAACATGAACTAGTGAGTTCTTGAATATTTCTACCCCCTCCCTCAGCCGAACAGCGCTATGTTCTTCATAATAGCCCTAGGTCAGTCCGACAAAGATATCTTCAAATGCTGAGGCATCACC